ATAGATAGATAGATAGATAGATAGATAGATAGATAGATAGATAGATATGGAGGCAGATAGATAAGTAGAGAGATTCAGATATTCAGATAGTCAGATAGCCATAGACTCAAAGAGTCAAAAAGCTCGGAAACAGATTCTTCAGTCCATCAAATCTGTGCTGACCATAGTCCCAAACTAAACTAGACCCACCTGCTTGCGCTTGTCCCATAGCTTTCAAAACATTTCTTATTCATGTAATTATCCAAATGTCTTTTCAAGGTTTTAACTCCAACACTTCCTCTGGAAGTTCATTCCACCAACGAGCCACTTTCTGTGTTAAAAAAAGTTGTCTCTCATTCTTTTATAAATCATTCTCCTCTCACCTTGAAAATATGCCACAAATGTTGAAATCCTCCATCCGAGGGAAAACACACATGCCATTAACCTTGTCTATATCCTTCGTGATTTTATGAACATCCATAAAGTCACCCCTCAACCTCAGGCTCTCCAGTGAAAAAAAGTCCCAGTCTATCCAGTCTCTCCTTATAACTAAAACCGTCCATTCACGGCAATATCCTGGAAACTTTTTTATGAACCCTTTCCAGCTTAAAAATATCTTTCCTACAATAGGGCGACCAGAAATGGACACAGTACCCCAGAAGAGGCCTCACCAACATCCCATATAACCTCAACATGACTTCCCAACTCCTGTACTCAAATGACTAAGCTAAACTAAACGCCTTTTTGACCATCCCGTGATACAAATTTCAAGATATTATGATCCTGAACCTTTAGGTCTCTGTTCTATTAAACTCCATCTACCACTCTTCAGCCCATTGATCCAACTGATCAAGATCTCTTTGTAATCCTAGATGACTTTCTTCACTGTCCATTATACCATCAATTTTAATGTCAACCATAAACATGTTAACCGTGCCTTCTATTTTCTCATTGAATTCCTTCACATAAACGATAAACAAAATTGAACCGATCCCTGTGGAACATCAATGGGAACAAGCCCTCAGTCCGAAAAAGAACCCTCCACCATCACTGTCTGTCTCCCGCCGTTTAGCAAATTGTGCATCTAATTGGCAAGCTCACTCTAAATCTCATGTGATCGAGATAGATAGAAATGGAGACAGCCAGACAGACACAACGGATGCACGAACGGTTAGATGGAATGATTGATGGATGACTGATTGGGTCTGAAACAGAAATGCTCTTCAAAATTCTAAATTCCGTTTGCCAGCCTCATTACTTGAAGCGGATCCGTTATTACACATGCATCAGTCTGTCACATTCTGTCCCTCCCCCGTCCATTTATAATTAAAATGCCACACATATCAAGAAATGACAAGTTGGACATTATCAACAGTAACTTGAAGATATTCTTCTGATACTCATGATTGTTCTCAGATGATTGTACATCTTCACCTCAAAGATACAAAACAGGGACTTGCCTGGATTCAGGAGGAATCATATCAATATTTCGAACATGTAGTCCCATCATATAGAACAGAACATTCAACATATCTTCTAAGTTATTTCAGTCACAGCATAAGTAGTGCCGATCACTGGAACGATGCCAATTAGACTTGTGCAGAAAATTATTTTCCTTCTATGTTATGTGACATGACAGTAATCAAACTGTCCCTTTTCACACGGTTTCCCTTCTGTTGTGAGATTTGTTGAGCATGGCGAGACTGGTGTGGTAATGGAGAATGCCTCCAAAAATGCATCTAAATGAGAATGTTGAGGGAAAATCTGTTGCGCTGATTTCTGTTTTGTTTTCATTGAAAACAGAACATCCTTTATGAATGTTTAAAGGTGAAGAAAAATAAATAATTAGCATTGATGAGTAATTTATGAAGTGTTTTTAGGTGACAGTTGTAAAACTGATCAATACCAATTTCCCCTCCTCAATTTAAGAGGTTCTCTCCCCTACCCTGAGACTATTAAACCAATTTGTGCATAGTTTCAACTTGTCTTCAAAGAGCAACTTTTAGCAGCAACTGTTTCGGCATCAATGAACTAAAGGAGGGAAATATGAGCAAAGACACAATTCCTGTCCGTCATTATTTCACAGTCCACCATATTTCAAAGCAATTGGCGCTTCTCCAAATTATCACAATTCCTACGTAACAATAAGAAATTAGAATTTCCATAATCTTGCCTGATTTCCGTCCATTCAGGGTTCCATAGCCGTCAACTCTCTAAAATCGTTGGTCACTTGTAACTGATTGGTGTCTCCCACTCGATCAATGGTTGTTAACATTGCCATCACTTTAAATTGATTGGTGCATCACAATCTATTTTTGATTTCCAATCAGTAGTCTGATAAAAAGCATTCTTTGGTTAAAGAGGATAAACCAGTTTTTCCATAATTCTTCCGAATTACTATAGTCCTAGGTGCATTTTTGATTTTTATACTGGATTCCTTGAATAATAGAGCTAATGTGAGCTGTCTTCAAGGCCACATTCACAGTTAGTGCCTCTACTATCGGGAAGAATGCGCAAGGGCAATTCTTAGGAGGCGCAGAGTCAATCTGAGTTATCAATGCATCCGCAGTTACAGTTCAGCCATTGAATGCCTGGAGTTCTTTTTACCTATGCCTTCTTGATGCGTGTCTGCAATGACAGCGATTATCTGGATTTCCAGTGGTGGCTCCGTTCCCTCATATTCGCCGGCGGTGTTAAACTGAAGATCTTTCTACCATCCCAGTTCCACATACAGGATCCCGTGGTACTATTTCATAGAACTGAAAGGGAATTGTCCCTGCCGCATTGTTCAATTTTGCTTTGCTTCAGTCACCATCACAAAAACAGATGACCGTGTCATGACCACATTGCTGACTTTTTAGAGCTCCTTGTATGCACAATGTCTGCTTAAATGCCTACATTACCATCCCGAAAATATTTTGCAGATACATCTCTTGCTCACAAACGCAAGGCGACGCCAGGGAACGATGAACTCCTTTCTTTTTGGTCTTTGTGAACACCGTGTTGTCAACAATATGTCAATAAAAGACAGATGTCTTTAACTTTCTTAATTCATGTTG